CTCCCTCTGCCTGCTCTGCCTGCTGCTCCCCCTACTTCTGCTTTCTCTCTCTGACAAATAAATAAATAAAATCTTTAAAAAAATAAAATTAAAAAATAAAAACAAGAAATAAAGATGGACTTCACTCCAGTTCTACAGTCTATAACCTAATAAAGAGTGCAGCATCTAGAATGACACCTGCTTTAAAGCCCTGGCTCTGCCATTACTACTTGCATGACCTTGGGCAAGCATCATGCACAGACTCTTGTCTACATGAGAAAAGTGCCTAGCTGGGGCATGTTTGCATTTAAGAATCTTAAAATAAATTGCCACCAACTCCAAGGGAAGTGAGGCTAAGAATATGTTTTCCTAAATTTTTGCCACTCTGACACTTTTTGAGTATAGTTGACACAGTGTTACATTAGTTTCAGGTATACAACTTAGTGATATGACAAGGTTATGCATTATGCTATGTTCACCACAAGTATAGCTACCAACTGTCCCATTACATCGCTATTACAATATCATTAACTGCAGTCCTTAGGCTCTGCATTTTATTCCTGTGACTTACTCATTCCAAAACTGGAGGCCCATATAGCCCTTTACCCATTTTGTTCAAACTCCCATCTCCCTCCATTTTAAAGATTCTAAGGATCAACCCAATTAGAACATAACTCTACTTGTAAAATAATAGGAGACCAAGAAGGTAGGACAGCTACTGTTGTAGATTTCTTTATAGATGACAAATGTAAAGTATAGCATTTAATTGACACAATATAATCTCATTTATTCAGTTGTCATGTATCTAGATCTACAGTCAATCCAGGAAATTCTGCTACTAGTTGGTATATGGATGACTCCATTTGCACATACATGTTTCAGTTTATTGTCTTGAAATTTTACATAGACTAGAAAGGTCTCAGGGTGTTAGTGACAACTTCTGAATATACTAGCATCTCTAGCTCCCTTCTTATGCAGAATATATCTCTTTAGAGTTTTCACTGCTTACTTCCAAACCAGTATGCCTAGATATAATATATTCTATACAAGTATATTAAGACACCACCAATTTCATGTAGCTGACTCCACTGTAAAAATCAAAATCAACAATTCAAGTATTTTTACTCTGGGGTTACAATACACAAAAATATATAATTCTTTCTGGAAGTACAATACAGTTTTAAAAGCAAAACTAATTAAATATCTTTAAAAATATACTTTATACAAAATTTAATGCCATCTTTTTCAACCAAGACTGAGAGACTGTGTTTTAGTAAAATACCTAAAAAGAAATGTAGGTATACACCATTTGGTCAGGCTTAGAAATCAGTGATTTTGTAGAAGCAGTATGCTATTCATGGAAGACTTTATGATATAAAACACATACATACATACACACACAAACACGCACATGTGCATGCACGCACACACACACATTGGGCTGGCACTCCACAGATTTAGATTCTTGTTAAAGCTCTGCCTAAGGGGTGCCTGGGTGGCTCAGTGGGTTAGGCGTCTGCCTTCAGCTCAAGTCATGATTGTAGGGTCCTGGGATCGAGCCCCATGTCGGGCTCCCTGCTCATCGGGGAGCCTGCTTCTCCCTCTTCTCCCCACTCATTCTCTCTCTTGCTACCTCTGCCACTCTCTCTCTCAAATAAATAAATAAAATCTTTAAAAAAATAGCTCTGCCTAAGATTCACTGCATATTACCCTGGTCAAGTATAGTTTGGTGATTAAGAGTCAAAACAGACTTATGTTTGAATCCTGACTGTGACATTTTGTCGTTGTGTGGCCCCAGGGAAGTCAACTACTTTAAGCTACTGTTTTCTCATTTGTAAAATGAGAAATAATACTAGAAACCATTTCATAGGGATGTGATGAGATTTAAATGTGAAAACATATATAAAGTTGTTAGCATAATGCCTGGTATTAAGTGCTTAATAAATATTAGCATTTATTAATTCTGCTAAGCTACTTCACTTCTTTAGACTTCAGCTTCCTCATATGTAAAATGGAAGGATTGGCTTGTCATTACAAAATCCCTTCCAGCTCAAACTAAAACTTAAATGAGAAAGTCCAATGCCATCCTCTCATTCAGACAGGAATTGTAAAATAAACCTTAAAACATGAATATCACATGCTTATTTTTTTATATTTTATTTTAAGCTTTCTAAAATGGGCAGCATATCCCTAATCATTACATTCTATCTAGAGTGTCCGACCTTTGAACAGTTTAGTCTATTGGTCTACATGTAAATGTCTAAGTCTTATTAATTACTATGAAATGGCTACAAGCTAAAACACTTTGAGGGAATTTGCATAATGTAAGTAATAAGAGAAAAAGTCAAGGATAAAAGATTTTCCCGTATAATAACATTCATAGTTCACTCATAATGATTTATGACAATGATTTTTAAATTTAAAGGTTATAATACCCTTCTAGAATGCTTTATATCCATGTTCTTAAACCACAAACTTTGATGTGATATTGGTTGGGTTGGTGCCTCAAAGTGAGGCAGCAGCCAAAGTGAAATCTGTAGAAAGCTTCTATATTAAACTGTAATCACACTTTCCATAAATAAAACTGAACTCCATGAAACAATGCAGTCTGAAGCCCTAGGGGTAGGAAAGTGACAACTGATATGTTATACAATAGCAATAAAGGCAGCCATCACAATGATTAACTCTGATTCAATAGGCACACAAATGAAAACTGTCAGTGATAATCAACGTAAAGCAGTAACTGCAAGATATATTGCAATAAAAAGAGTAAACAAAGAGTAGGTTTTAACAAAACATATGTGATGTAATGTCATCAAAGAGAAATACAGAAAATGGAAAATGTCTTAGTATTTTTAAAACTGAGAAAATTACAGACAGAACTGCTTCTGGGATAATGTCCCCTTGGTCTCTTTTATGAAGACAGTATATATTTGGAGGTCACTCACTATATAGATATGTCTATATTTCTCTGACTCATATTCAAATTTATTTAGTCACTGGAGGGTCATTTGCCTGACCAATGATGAATGAATTTTCACATATATACAATTCTCTCTATAACAATCTTACTTTGTTACCCGAGAAATTCGGATGCAAAGACCACATATTGTTATAAATACTTCAAATAATCATCCAGGTGCTGTAGGCAGAAGATAAAGAATTAGATGGCATGGCCCCAACACTTAAGAACGGGTTTAAAATCCAGTTGAGAAATTTAGTCTAACACATAAACACACGCAAATAAGAAGACAATATAAAACAGGCTATAAGAAAGTGATAAGTACAAGAACTGATGTAGGAGTTCTAGAAAAAATGAGCTTAATAATGGTTGGGTTACACTTGGAAAGCACTCAATGGAGGGGTGTAACTTGAGTCTCCAAACTGGGTAAGATCTGAATAGGCAGAAGAGAGGGCATCCTGTGTGAAGGGTGTGGCTGTGGTGCAAGGAGCAAAGCTCTGGAAGTAGATTGTTCAGGGGACATTAAGGAGAATTGTGCACTGAAAAAGCAAGTAAAATAAGGGTCCCATAGTACAATGAAGCCAGATTATGAAGTTTTTGCAATCTGACTAGAATTGGGCTTGGAAGAATAAAAAATAAATTCCAAGAATATTTTGGTGAAGAAAATGACTTGCTCAAAGGAGTGTTCACTGATCATTAGTCTGGCAGGATGAATTAAGGATTTGGGGCACAAGTGAAAGCTGACTAGGAGGTTCCTGGAATTACTGGATGGGTGGTGATGGGAGCTTAGATTGTAGAATAAAGGAAGAATTATAAGAGTGGGCTTTCAAAGGAAAATTCACCAGGACTTGATAACCACTTAACTATAAGAAATGGAGGAGGAAAAAATCAGATTTCTCTGTGAAATAGTCAGGAGTTTATAACAATTTTTCCACCAAGGACAAACAGGCAAGTTGTTCCTCACAATTGCTGAGTAATATAGCCCCTCCCAAAGAAGAAGAGTTAGAAAGGGTTTCCCAAACAGGATTTGACTTTGTTGGTTTTAGCAGAGACACAGAGGAAGAAAGAAAGAAAGAAAGACTTAGCACCATACCAGAAAGGGAGACCAAGTCTTTGTAAGAAACCGTTCCCCCCCCAAAAAAAGATAAGAAAGTTAAATTTCTTACTGTGAGTCTCCACAATGGGTCTCACTCAGTCTCTCCAAAGAGTTTAAGTTTCAAAATCACTGAGTGGCACCTCAAATCAGAGTTCACTGAAGATTAAAAGTTGGATTCGCTTGAATAATTAGGTTTGTTTTTTAATGGTTTCTCATCTCAGGAATTTCTATTCCACAAATTCCTCTCCAAGTTCTTTCAATTATTACAAATCTGACATCTGTAGATTAAGAACTTGCTTTCTTAAATTCATCAGGCCCATTTGGGGTCTGGGTATGCCCAGTAAGCCAGATTCAAAATAAGTGGCAGATCCCTCTCCATCAATAGGCGCTTGAAATAGCACACAGCCAACTCCCCAGCCCTTTCCATAGTCCGCCCAGACAGAGCTCAGCCCCACCTCCTCCAGCGAAACGGAAAAGGCGCCTGCGCACACTCCACGTCTATTCTTCTCGCCACGAACTTCCCCCTGCCCCCAAGCTCCTAATGCGCAAGCGCGGCACTCAGAGCGTTCGAGTAGGGCTGTGAAAAATCTGCTGTCCAGTGAAATCTAGAAGTGGTAGAATTCACCTCCCCGCCCCCCCCGCCTCCCTTCTTCGGAGGCAGAGGTGCCACTTCCTCCTACCCCAAAGCCAGAAGTGCATCCCAAACGTCACCCTCTCTCGGAGCAAGGTCCTTTGCTCTCTGGCAATGCCCACTGTATCCCTATCCTCAGCTGTTTTTTAACCTCATGCAGCCGCCAGCCTTGGCTCGGATAGTACAGGGAGTTGGCTCCCCCAAAGCCGCAACGGTTTGTTGGCAGCTTCTTTAGGCCTCTGAACCTATAAGCCCCCCACTGGGCAGAGCATTAGCTCCGTGTCTTGCTCATCCTTCTTCGCCCTTCACACCCAACCAGGCTGGGTCCTTACCTCGGGGCGTGGTGCGGTCACGGGAAGGATCGGAGGATCCCGAATCAGGCCAGTGCTGGAGCAGGCAGATTCAGCAAGATTTTTCCTGGGTCTCACTGTCTTCTCAGACAATGAAATCAGCGTGTCCGATCATCAATTCTCATCATGATTGTGACGTCACAAAAGACAGCGACCAATGGGAGCCCGAGATCAGCTCCGGACAGTCCCTGGCCTCAGCCCAGAACCCAAGAGTGGGGAGGGGGGAGGAAAGATAGCTGCCTGCAGTGGGGCTGCCTCTTCCCTGCACATATCAGCTGTGTCCAAGGCCAGGCCTCTCTGTACCTCTCCCTTCCTGAATAGTTCTGGACACCCAGCATCCCTGTGACTATAGTAGTTACATGGCACCATTTGAGCAGGTGCTGCCTGGTCTTCCAACTTGAGATTCGCTTTCAGCAGAATTGTTGCATGCCAAAATCAAAAGATCACATACAGAAATATAGTCTTTTGTGGTCAGTGTTCAATTGAATTTAGTATACTCAGTGTTACTAAAATCAAGAAGGACTCCATCAAGCCTTTGGCATTTATCGATAAGAGCAAGTATACAGTTTTATGTGACCAGTTGACTCTGCGACTAAAGCAAGAAATTAAAATTATGAGTTCTGTTCACCTAACCTCAATCCCTGTTCTGCCAGAAGTTACTCGAGTGATCACCATTACACCATTGCAGAAAAAAAAAAAAAAAAAAAAACACCTCAAGTCATATGTTACATCAATTAACACTCACTTGATACACTCCCCAAATTTGTGGGTGCCATGAGAAATGTACAATTTATTGGTCCTATGCTATTATAGAACTTATCACTCAGAAGACAAGATTAGCACACATTAAACATTCACAACAATAAAATTAAGTACAGTATTAGGTGCTCAATCATCTACTACAGACAAGAGATACATCGTTTAATGACTGGAAATACCAGTGAGGTGATAACGGGGAAGCATATTATTTTCTAATTGAAACTTGAGATGGTTCTTGAACGTTGGATAAGAGAGAACTGAAAGCACTGTCATAAAGGGGAAGAATAGGCAAAAGTAGGAAAGCATAGCTATATATGATATGAGGAAATCCATGATAAATTCAGCCTAGCAAATAGAGGGCATATATGAGGACTAGTGCGGAAATAGGATAGGCTGATAATAAAAGTCTTTGAAAGTAGGCAGAGAAGTTTGATGTTATTAAAAGCCACTGAAGACCCTAGGGCAGGGTACCTCAACCCTCTACAGTCATCTACAAAGCAGCTTGAGTGATTTTTTTTTTTCAAAGGAAAGTCAAATCATGCCCAGCTCCAGATTCTCCAATGGCGTACATTCACATATACCATAAAATGCAAATTTCTTACCATAGTCTCAAGGTCCTAAATGATCTGGCCTTTGCCATGTTTATGTCCTCACCTCCTGCCACTCTGCAATTAACTCACTTTCAAATCACATGGGTCTTCTCTCCATTTCTCAAAGAAATTTTCTGACCACATCAGGACCCTTATACAGTTGTTCAGTTTGATCTTTGTATGACTTTACTTCATTTGATTCACATCTCTGCTCAAATGTAACTTCTTTAAAAGTAATCTCTTTAAATTTTTAAAGAAGTTACACTGTAACCCTATTTCAAATTGTGATCTCAACACTTCATCTACCTCCCTATATTCCCTTTCCTGTTTTATTTTTCATAGCACTTATTACTAACATACTTTATATTTTTAGTTATTGCAAATATAAGCTCCATAAGGTCAGGACTTTTGTCTGTCTTATTTATTTTTATATCCTTGGCATCCAGAACAGTCCTGGATATAAGGTAGACAAATCAGTATTTGTTGAATGAATGACTGAAAGCAAATTTTTCAAGTGATTAGTTAGTCATCAATTTGCAGTTTGAATCAGATTGGGGATAGGCTGGGGAAAGAAAGATCAGTTAGACAGTTATCATGGCAATATAGATTCTAGATAACTGAGGCCTAGATCAGGGTATTAAGAGCAGTAATAAAGAGAAATTATTAAATTTCAAAGAAGGAATGATTAAGATGAAAATAGAGGATTCAGAGATGGCCTATCATAGAATAACACATTCATTAAGTACTTACTGCATAGCTTTTCTAAATTATTTTTTTAAGTAAACTCCACATCCAGCATGGAGCCCAGTGCAGGGCCTGAACTCACGACCCTGAGATCAAGATCTGAGCTGAAATCAAGAGTTGGAGTCTTAACCAACAGAGCCAACCAGGCATCCCAGTATCTATTGCATATCCTGAACTGAGGTGATTTGAGAGAAAAGGAAGACAGGATCCTGACCCTTAAATAATTTATAGTCTGACTGACAAGAGAAGACAAATATGAAACCAGAGTACAAAAAGAGGTTATTAAATTCATCCAGTTGCTCATTCTTTTTTCCCTTCACACTCTATATCCAAGCTATCCATGAATCCTATAGGTTGAACCTTCAAAATATATCCAAAATCTGAGCACTCCTTACTTCTTCCATTATCACTACAACAGTCAAAGTCACTATCATTTCTAGCTTCAGCCACTGCAAAGTCATCTTACATGGTTTGCCATTGTCTACTACTACTTTCTTTAATACTTTCTCTTAACAGCTGTCAAAATATTCTTCATAAAGTTGAATAGGATCATATTACTCCCCAGCTTAAAGCCCTCCAAATGCTTCCCAACATGCTAACAATAAAATCCAAAATCCTATGGTTTATTTCCTACCACTTCTTTCTGCCCTGGTTCACTATGCTACACTGGCCTCTTTTCTCCCTCTCTCTTTCTTTTTGGAAATCCTGTTCCTTCATTGGAGACTTTGCACTTGCTATGCCTTCTTAGAAAACTCTTCTCCCAGATCTTCCTATAGCATACACTTCACTCCGGTGGCCAGCTAAAGTTTACCTCCTCAGATATGTCTTTATGGACCAATGTATTTAAAATAACATCCCCAAATCACACTACATCTTCTATCCTCTTGCTGTGCATTATTTTACTCAAATCACTATGGGAAATCACATAATTTGCTTATTTATTTTGCCTTTCCTTAGGTTAGGATTTCATCTCTCTTATTTCTGTTATATCTCCAGTACCTAGAACTGTACCTGGCATGAAACTTTGTTGAATGAATGGATGTAGAAAAGCATAGATTGTGTGGTGTAAGCTAGAGTAATTGGTATTCAGAAGTCAGAGATGTTGCTAGTACCATATCATAAGTATCCATCCCTGGTCTGCACACAATGTATCAATTAAAGCCATGTTTACTGAATTTGTGGGTGAAAACAATCTGAGAGGAATAATTAAAGCATGGATATTAACCAAGATTTCAAAAATCTCAAAAGACTTAAAATTCAAATTCAGCAAAATCAAATTTGAGAGGGCTGAACATTTAAGTCTTACTTTTAGGTTTACAAAAATCAACTGCACAAGTTAAGGATGGGCAATAAGCACTTAAAGTGGGAAAATTTTATTTATAAAATTTATAAATTCAATATGAGCTAGTATACCATAGCTGTTAAGAAAGATAATTGAGGGGTATCTGGGTGGCTCAGTCAGTTAAGCATCTGCCTTTGGCTCAGATCATGATCTCAGGGTCCTCAGATCGAGCCCCATATGGGCTCCCTGCTCAGCGGGGAGACTGCTTCTCACTCTCCCTCTGCTGCTCCCCCTGCTTGTGCTCACTTGCTCCCTCTCTCTCTCTCTGCCAAGTGAATATATAAAATCTTTTAAAAAAGAGAGAGAGAAAGAGGGTGTCTGGGTGGCTCAGGCAGTTAAGCGTTTGCCTTTGACTCAGGTCATGATCCCAGGGTCTTGGGATCGAGTCCCTCATTGGCCTCCCTGCTTGGAGAGGAGCCTGCTTCTCTCTCTGCCTCTGCCTGCTGCTCCCCCTGCTTGTGC